AAATATGGCTGTGAATAATGAATCAATTATTGCTTATCCAGGGGGAAGGCAAACTGATCCTCCCACTGGCTGGAATGTGGTCCCTCCTTCTTCCCCCATCTCCTTCACAAGGAAGGACAAACAAATGGCTGGCTTTCAGACCACTGACAAAAGAATTTAGCCAAAATATGTCTACAAAATGTAGTTTCTTTAGGTTTAGTCCAGTTTATGATGGAATGTTTTTAAATTACTTATTTATAATCTCTACTGCAACTGCTTCAGGGGAGGCCCGTTACTGAGATGAATGTGGTAAGGAAGCTATGGACTGCTCTAGCTAGTATGTACAAATCAAGAGTAAATCTCACTAGCCCAGGGGGACTGTGCCCTAGGCTACCACCATAATGTTAAAATCAATCCCCAATTTATATGGTTTAGCCTCATTACAGACATAATAGCATATCTTGTATTTTGTTTGCAGCATGCATTTTCAGCTGCCCTGGGTTGCTTGGATTTTTTTCTTCCCTGTGACTTTTGCTTCCTTTCCAGTCGTGAATCTAGCATCACATTGGTTCTGTGAACATTTCATCAAATGAAGTGGAATGGAAGGGCCTTAGCAACAAAAACGTATCTGACAGTACTTCACATGACCCGAGTGCCTGACCTTTGGTTTGGGAAAAGGGACAGTGCTACTGGTTGGTTATTTGGAGTTGGGAATACTACCTGTGGAGATGAAAGGCCTGTATCTGTTGAAATTACACTTGATTGCTTATTTGTTCATTTGATCTGAATAGATTGTCCTTTTGAAATCAAGGGAATAACTGTGCCCCCAGAAAATATATAATCAACATAGTATAATGAGCTTCTGTGTATGTTTTGTGGATTGGAACTGCTCTTCTATGTATCATAGGCCCTATAAGGCTAACAAAGACATTCCTTTAGCTGAGGTTTTAGAGCTGAAGACTGAGTTCAATCTTCATTGCTTCCATGAAGTTCTGAGAGGCTATGCTCTACAGTATAGTTATAATACCTAGCTCTCATACAGTGCTTTTAGTCAGCACATCTCAAAGTGCTTTGCAAATGGAGGTCAGTATTATTATCCCCATTTTACAGATGGGGAAACAGAGGCACAGAATGATGAAGTGATTTGCCCAGGGTCACCTAGGAGGCCAGTGACAGAGCCGGGAATAGAATCCAGGTCTCCTGAGTTACAGCACAGTGCTCTATGCACTAGGCCACATTGCAGTTTCATACGTTGATATGGATTTGTACCAGGAGGATCATAGAATGTCAGCCTTACATAGCATGGGCTTAATCCTTCTTCCATTGAAGTCACTGAGATTCTTCTTCATTGACTTCACTGAGAATTGGATTGGACCCCTACTTTTCCAGTGTTACATTTGTTGCATTTCTGAAACAAGATACTGGTTGTCCTGGTGGCCCGATAAGAGTGATCAGCTGGAAGTTTGCCTGGTATCAAAATAAATTAAGATACCATTCCTGCAGAATAATGAAACATTAAGAAACCTTTGGAAAAACTTTTGTTTCATGTGTATTAAAATTGTGACTTAGAAATGCCCAAAGAAAGCTCTCTTTGGTCGAGCCTTCTTGTTCCATGAAACACTCAGTTAGATTTTGTAAAACATATGTCTTACACTTCTTGCAAAGCAAGAAATATTAGGGGTGAGATGAAAGAGTGGCACAAAGCTCTGATGAAAAATAGAAATGAAAATGAGATGAGACAGACATTTATGTATCAAATTTATGTTGCCAAATGCATAGACTTGGGAAGCATCTGGCTAACTAAGTAATCAGAGCTTCAGGCCAAACTATTCTGGGGCTCACCAACATCCTTTTGTGACTCGATAGCTCTCAAAAGGAGTTTTTCTCTTTCAGTCCTTAAAGCAGGCTGCTTAACTTTTGATCTTTTTTTTTAAAAAAAGTAAAGCTTTTCCAATTACTCAGCTTTCTGTTTCTGTTATTTTGGGGAAAAGAAGGATGCCTTCAGATAGAAACCAACCATCTCATTTGTAGGATATTTAGGAGAGGTCTTCTAGTGAGATACAAAGTTGTTTCATTGGCTTGAAAAAAGGGATGGTCGTGAGGGGAATAAGTGGCGAATGCCCTTGTGTCATTTTTATTTTGTCTTTTAAAAAAGAAGCCAGTGGAGTTGTAAAAAAGCAGTGCAAAGTCCAGTGTCCAAGCGGGATATATAGACTGCTTATACTTATACTGAGGAAACACTCAGAGAATCTTGAGCCATACATTAGCGGAGAGAGAAACCTTTCTGTTATTTTACTCTGACGTGTAAAGTGCAGCTTATTTCATTAATTCCTAGTAATATTGGCCTACTACTGCAGCCTTTACTTATGTGAGTGAGGACTGCAGGGCTGTGGCCATGGTATTGTCACAATTTGTATACAATAATGACTGGAGCACAGAGGTGCCCCTGGGGATTAATAATTAACTGGGAGAGTTGATTTCTGAGTATACTAACCCTGAGGCCATCATTAAGTTCTTGGAAAATGCTCCATCCACACTGCACATTGAGTAGTGTTACAATGCATGAGTGATTGTAAATGCATGAGACATGTATGTAATCATGCCTTAGAAATGCATTGCAGATTGCTTCTTGTTGTTATTAGAAAATGTAATTTTCAAATTAAAAATAAGGCAGATAGACTTGTGCATTTATTATGTATTATGAGCGTAGGTGTGCTCTTGGCATGAAGTGAGACATCCATTTGTGCCTGTTGTTCTAAAGCCATTTAATAATTTACAATGTAATTTTTTTTATAGAAAAAAGCAAAGTCACACTTTACTATTTTCCTCTTGGCAGCCTCCAAAATATTTTTGTAGTGCTGCAGGAAGAAAACCCTCCTATTGTTCAATGCACGGTCAGTAGTCAATAAGCCGGTTATTAAACAGGTCCTGAACTCTCAGGAATGCCTACACTGAGCTAGCATTGCTGAAATCTGGTTAGGTGACACTGCTAGCTAAGTTCTATCTCAGCAGGTGCACCACAGATACAGGTGTTGGGATTTTCAGAAACACTCACACTTGTCCTAGCTCTGCTTCTGTTGCAATTGAGGAAATTTTCAAAGGTGCAAAGGGCCATTAGGTGTCACCCATCTACTAATGAAAGTCAAATGAGTCATTTGTGTCTTTGAAAATCTTCACCATTAGTGGTAAGACTTCACTGGGGGCAGAGTGAGGCTAGTGCTGTGTACTTTTGAAAATCCCACCTAGAAGTCAGAGTAGCCATACTATTCTAATCTAACTTTCAGTGCCAGAGAAGTCCTCCAAGAGAACCAGCTTCATTTGAATACATCCCCTTAATCTTTGCACGCAGGAACAAGACCAGTACTAGCATCCTGCTGACGGTTGTCTACTAAAGAGTAAATGTTTCCTAGTGTAATTTCCCCCATCCAGTGGGGTTTCAGGAATGCTTTGGAAAACCAAACCAGGAATGTGCCAGTACAGAGGGTGATCTGTAAACTGCCCTGTAAACTATCTTGGAGGGATCCCAATAAGCACTCACACATGGCTCAAATGAGAGGATTCTTTACTAGGGCTGCCAAGAAGGAAAGGATGCAAATAAACTAGGTACAATAGCTTAGTTGCATACAGACAAGGGTGAACATAGTAATTCCCAAATTAGCCTTTAGGTAGGTGTCCAGTACAGGGTAGAGTGCTAACCTTGTCCCATGGGGTTCCTCAAGCGTAATACCTGTGGTGTCTCTTCTAGTCTGTTCCTTTATGAGAGGGCTTATAGATTGCTGTGGCCAGATCTCAGTCCCTGAGATATGTCACTGGGGCCCCTCCACATTGTCCTCCTGTTATCCAGTTATAACATTTGCCTCCTGCCTCCTTCCTGCCAGCTGTTGCACTGTGTGTGACAATAGGCTACAAGCCCAGAATCTCTTGTCTGTATGTCCTAGGACCGAGACAGGCAGAGCTAACAGAAACATTGTCCATAAAGGTGCTTGAGTTCCCCAATTCTGTTGTCCTGGGAGACTTCAAAAACCCACAGTAGCAATGACTCTGATGAAGAAACCTCAGAGCTGTATTTCTTCTCTAGCCACAATGGGATTCTCCCAAATGGTCTCCATATCCACATACATAAGGGTAGAAGCTTGACCTGGCCTTCATTCTATAGGAGGAGATAGGAGGTACAAGAACTACTCCTATCTTGTATGGCAAGAAGATGCTCCCACAGTATAGGGATATAAAGGAGGAGAGGGAAGTTACTTAGTACATTGGGTGGGATATGGCCTTCTGGGTGCAGGGAGCAGCATGAGAAATGGCCAGTGGGATTTTGTGTAAGCAGCTTCCACACTTGTGCATGTATATGCGTTAGATTATTGAAAGTAGACATATAATTGCTGGAGTGTGTACTGGTGTTGAGGAGCAGAAGTCACATTCTGGTCTGAGTTATACTGGTGTAAATCTGATGTAACTCTGTTGCATTCCATGTAGTTACTCCGGATTTGACTGGTATCAGAGAAGATTCTGGTTCTGTCTGCACTGGTGTTTACTTGCCAAGTGAGGGCATGTGCACAAGTGTGTGCCATTTTGCACAGCATATACATGGTGGCCAACCCCTGAACAAGTACCCCAAAGTGTTTAAATGAAGAGCAAAGTAGCAACCTTCATTAGGAACTGGGCTTTTGTCTTTCTGTTTTTCATTCATTGTGCTATTTTATCTAGTTTTCTGAACAACATATGAGACTGCACAACAGTAGTGAGTACTTGAAGAACAAGGGTAAAGGGGAGTTACTGTGTTTTACATATACAAAATGTTTATTCAATTTTATGAAAAAGACCACACAATACATGTCATAACACACATGCATGTATCTTAAGCTCCAATTATGAATGGAAAATGATATTGAATAGACAAAGGAAGGAGTTATAGTAATAATGCTTGTTCCAACAAGATACAATGTGCATTTGTTATGCATCTTTCTTTTTTCTTGGAGGGTGTATTATGTTTTCTAATGCACTATGATTTCTCCCTGCAGAAGAGGTGAAAATGAAAAGCCAAGTATCTGAAATGGATTCCATAGAAAATACATTTTCGATGCTTGAGTTGTCAAACCAAAATAAACAGAATGTCTCTCCTGTAAGAAACAAAGAGCCATCAGTGTCTCTCTCATCACAGACTTTTGATGAAGACCAGGTAATGAGACTGGCATCAGTCCACAGAGGCAAACATTAAATTAAAGAGAAGATAGGCAAAAAATATTCATGCATAGAGAGGAAGAGGCTCTCCTCTGGCTCTGAAGGCCCTCAGAGAGTGAAGCAGAGGAGATGCACTGGCTGAGTGGTAGTGACTGAAAGCAATATCTGATCTGAAGCAGATTCTGTAGAATCCTATGTCAGGTGTGATGCCCTTAGAGGCACTTGAGGGGAACACCCCAGCCATTTGCTCTATCTGCTGTAGAGCAGCTGTAGTATACCGGGGGTGTCCAGGTTCCTGCAGGGACCACAGTCCTGTGTGAATGAAACTCAGATAGGAGTTTTAAAAGAATCACAGTCTTTCAGACCCTTGCATAATACTACTGATAACAGAAGCTTTGTGCTGTTTCTCTCATCAAGAATATGGTTCCATCTTTGGATAAACTGCCTTTTGGTCTCTTGTCTTAGCCACTTGGGAACTGGCTTTGTGCCTTGTAAAGTGCGATGAGACTTTCATTATTTCTTAGTTAATAGAACATCCTAATATTTATCTTTGTTGCTATAGAACAAAAGTTTCAGGCATGATTACATGTTTTTGTCACATTAGTAGTTTAAGAAACAAATCCAGTAATAATAACTGGATGCACTGGAAACATTGCTACAGTAATAGCACAAAGCATTCGTAATGCAATGAATTGGCTGCTGTAACCTTTACACCTGCCTTCAGGAAGAGAACAGAGAGAACGACTTCCATTGAAAACATTGCTTCTGTTCTAAACACTGCTGTTGTCCTTATTTTGATTGCTTATTGTGTTTCTCCATTGGACCTAGTTCGGATATATTTAAGATGACAGGTTCCCTATCCTCTGTTCAGAAGCCATTTCATTCACTCTTTTTTTTAATTCTACATACATTTTAAAGGACCTGAACATGCAGTCTTTTTGCAAGTGTAAATCAGTGGGAGCTTTGAATGTGATCTGTATTCTTGCTTCATTTTAATGCACGTAAATATCTCTGCAGATAATGATGGGTAAAGGCTGGAAAGTTGGCTGCTCTAACCAAGGTGACCTCAGTCTGGCAAGAAGAGTGAAGGTAAGATTTGCTTCAGTGCTATTCAAGGTAGGAATTATAAGCAGAACACATGTAATCTCTGTTTAATGCACTGACTTACAAATTATTTTACTTGGGGTAGGGAAAGTGTCTGGAAATGCAGTGTTTGCTTCCACGATCATTCTGAGGGAAGGAAGAACTCTAGCAGTACCATCTAACCAGTTTTTTTCTGTTAACAAGTTTATACGTTTAATATAAAAGTGTGCTCTTTGTAACGGCTTAAATTGTAAGGGGCTGGTTGGAGGGATTGGTCTTGAACTGGATGAGATGATTAAACCTTTTGCATCTCTAATTTCTCTGTGGTTCTGTGCTGTAAGCTCAGTGCAGTATGGGACAACTCTCCAACTCAGCAATGCTACTTCAAAGGAGCATAGTACGACTGTGCTCCAGTGTTTGCTCTGGTTTCCAGTTCATTTCCAGGTGTAATTCAAGATGCTCATTTTGACCTACAAATCCCATTCTGGATATTGTCTCTTCCCTTCTTTTAACCTGAGACTTGAGGTCAGTTGAGATGCTCTATCTGACAATCCCTGAATACGTTTGTCTGCGAGTTGGGGGAAAGGCATTCCCAGTGGATGGTTTCTACTGTGAAAGTTACTCCCGACTTTGCTCCTACTGAGCTCAGATTCATTGACCTTCATCCCATGTTGCCAGGGCAATCCATTTTTCCAGGCTTTTTCTAAGGAGCTTGGTTGAGTGGAATGGGAGGGGAAGGTCTCTGGTTTTTAGCATGAGGTTGAGTCATTTTGAGTTTTTTTTGTAATGTGTATGTAGAGACTAGACTGTTCATATGTTCAGAGTTGCAGATAGGCACATTGTTTATTAGCATAGTTTTCTACATCTCCCATCTAAGAAAAGCAAGTTCCAAGCCCAAGGAGGAAAAGTTTCCTGTCGTGTCTCTTGTATATATTATATATTTAATCAGTGAACTCATTTTATCATTTATAGGTGCTTAGGAGGGAATTCTATTTTGAACGCTTAAGAAGGTTTCAAATGGGGCAGAGGACTTTTTCTGGCCCTCTACACCCCTCGGCACAGAGGGTGAACTTAATGAGTGAAATTTTTTCAGATTTGAATATTTATAAAGTTGTGCCTGACCATTATGTGGGCAACACTGGAGGGTGGGGAGAATCTTTGTGCCCCCTCCCACTATGCACCCATGGAGAATTTGAATGATAAAGCAATATTCTTACAAAGCACTTTAAATATGCCTAAGACATTTTAAAATGGCCATTGTTAAGGCTAAAAAAATAATTTAAAAAGTCCTGATTTAAGTCTGAAAAAAATTCATGTAAGTTGTTTCTTTGCTTTTTTCACTTCAGCCAGTTTGAATACTGAAACTGTAATGGTCAGTTTCTCTTTTCTTTAGAGTCAGTTTCACTTTCTGGGTCTCATGCAGTAGATTTCCAAGACTGCAGAGTAACATTTGGCTCCTACTCCATTTACAGAGAAAAATGGTTTTACATTCTTGTAAGTTATGAAAACGTTGTTCAAATTAGGCATACTAGAATTTATGAAACATATTTTTCTCCTCCCGAAAACCTAACGTTGATACTAAACTATTTGTTAGTGTTTCTTTAACTACTTTTAAAAATACAGAAAGGATACCAAACATTTCTTTCTTCCTTTCAAATAATATTTTAATAAATTTTCAAACTCCTGTAAAAGCTACAGAGGAGAATGGAGAAACTGATGTTGACAGTCATAATTTTTGCTTTGCTCCAAGTTGCGGTGAGAACAATGGAAAGAATAGACTTCATTTTATTTGTTCAATCTTTTGGTTTTGGGTCTTTTCACAGGTGGGCAATTACTTGGATTTGGAAGATTTTGACACAGATGATGAATTTGGTCAAGGGACATATAGTGGTATGTTTCTTTTCCTTCGCTCTTGTGATTGCTCTCTGTCCCTAGCTCTGAATGTATGAATTTTCTTTCCTCTTTAGATTCTGAATCAGGCTGTGGTTAGGAAGAAATAACTCACGCCTTCACTCTGGAAGAAAATATTGAAATCATTTCTTTATCCAAGGTTGTGAGGAGTTCAGTACAAGTGTAACCCCTTGGGGTTAGAAAGCATGGCCCCTTTAAATCTTTTTCCTAACTGGGGAGAGGGAGCAGTGAGAGAAAGGAGGGAAACTCCAGGTGGGGCTCTGGAGCTTGAGAGAGGGAGAAGGTCTGCAGCAAGCAGGCCCTCGCAAAGTGAAGAGAGAGAACCTGCCTGAAGCCCGGGAAGGACAGGGCGGCCGATCGGGGACACCCCAGGACAGGAGCCAGGAGGAGCACTGTGCCAGGGGGGAATCGCTTGAGAAGGACAGGCCAGAGCTGGACCCAGTATCACTGCTGCCCAGAGCTGCATGGGGCTGTGAGTACTGGGGCTTGTGACTCTGCATTGGGAATAAGGAGGGAGGCTGCTAGCTACTTAAGTGGGGAGGTGGTCGTGCTTTGTGGCTTTGCAGAAAGTGGCAGAAGAGGGCACTGGAGGGGTTTGTTGGGGAAAGTTCACTGGTGCCAAAGACGACCAGGAACACCAAAGACTCAGCACTGGACTGGAACTTTGCTCAGGACTCCTGAACTCTGTATGCATACATATAGCACAGTCTGAAAGGGCAGACACTGAGCAACCACTGGGCCTGTGGGGTCTTGGTTTGGATGCAACCCTGTTCTACTGTTCCCCCTACATATTCCCTTGTTGTTTTTCTCCTCTCGTCCCTCTGTAAATAAATATTTCCCTTTGTTATATCCCTTGTACTTTTCCGGTGTGTGTGTGTGTGTGTGCAGTCTGGGGGATTTGGAACAGGTGCCCCTGGGGTGGAAGGGATTTTTCCTGCTGCATTCCTGCGCACGCCTTCTCTTGGCCAGAGCTGCCTGCAGAGCAGACTCCATCTTGGCCACGAGGGTGTTAAAGTTACACAAGTAACAGCCTAAGATTTATTATTCTGGCTACTGATGAATGGTATTTTTTGATAACTGTTCCTGAATTTTTGTCCACACTTATTTTGTCCAGAAATCATTTAGATTTTTGCAAAATTTCTCAACAAGGCTACCAAGAGATGCAGAATCCTGAAGTTCTGTATGTTTTTACTATGGAAAAATAATTTCACTCAAATGTGGACCCACGTTCACTATAAATATTTCATTATAGTGTTAACATTTCACAAAGTTGGACCCATGTTGAATTTGTAGGGACATGCCCCACAAGATTGCAAATATTTCATTGCAGATATTTCATACACCTATAGTAATTTTAGCCCCCTTCCCCCCCAAAAAAATCCTACAGGCTCAATTATGCTAGCGTCTGTCCTAGATACTTGTGTGTCCCCCACCACCCACCATTACCATTGTGCTTCAGAGCACCTTACACAGTCTTTAACATATTTATCCTCACAACACACCTGTGAGATAGGAAAGTGAGGCACAGATAGACTATGCAGCAATTAAACACCCATGGCTGGCCCAGGTCAGCTGACTCAGGCTCACGGGGCTATAAAATTGCTGTGTATAGCTGTTATGGTTTGGGCTGGAACCTGGGTTCTGGGGCCACAAGAGGGGGGAGGGTCCCAGAGCCCAGGCTCCATCCCAAGCCGAACATCAAAAATTGTTTAGCCCTGCAGCCTGAGCCCTGTGAGCCAGTCTGTCCAATGGCACTTTTATTCCACCGTAGGGGTACCTTACGTGTCTTGCCTAAGATCACACAAAGAATCTGTGGCAGAGTATGGAATTGAATGGAGGGTTTTGAATCCACAGTGAGTGCTCTAACTGCTTGACTATCTTTCACTTCTCTGTGTGTACAGAGCTTCCATTGATGCCAGAGGGCCTGCAGGATTGGGCCGTCAGTCAGGAGAATATGAGGTCTGGCTTTAATTCGCAGAAGAAAGCAAATAGAGAGTTAATGTTTCTTCCTTCACCCCTGGCATTTCAGAACACGGGCTCTGATATTGCACTCCTACATTAGGTCCGGACGGCAAAGGTTTCTATTCAATGTGATGGTCCTTAGTTCCCTCATTTTTCCCTTTATAGATGTCTAGGACTCAGGTCTGAATACTCTCTCAAATTCTAAGTATATCTGTTAAAGAATTAAGGGTTCCATGACTGCAGTGAGTTTACTCTCTACGCTGCCTTTTGACTGGAAACCTGAATTCAGATCTGGTTTATATCACTAGTGAAATGAATTAAGTCAACTTAATCTAGTCCATAGTGAACACCTGTATCTATTTCAGAACAGGTGACAAGGTGATAGCTCTGAAATAATTGGCAGTAGGGCTGTAGATTAATTGCAGTTAACTCACACGATTAACTCAAAAAAATTAATCGCACTGTTAAACAATAGAATACCAATTGAAATTTATTAAATATTTTGGGATGTTTTTCTACATTTTCAAATATATTGATTTCAATTACAATACAGAATACAAAGTGTACAGTGCTCACTTTATATTATTTTTTATTACAAATATTTGCATTATAAATATGATAAACAAAAGAAGTAGTATTTTTCAATTCACCTCACACAAGTACTGTAGTGCAATCTTTTTATTGTGAAAGTGTAACTTACAAATGTAGATTTTTTTGTTACGTAACTGCACTCAAAACCAAAACAATGTAAAAATTTAGAGCCTACAAGTCCACTCAGTCCTACTTCTTGTTCAGCCAGTCGCTAAGATAAACATGTTTATTTACATTTACGGGAGATACTGCTGCCTGCTTCTTATTTACAATGTCATCTGAAAGTGAAAACAGGTATTTGCATGGCAATTTTATAGCTAGCATTGCAAGGTATTTACATGCCAGATATGCTAAACATTCGTATGCCCCTTCATGCTTCAGCCACCATTCCAGAGGACATGCTTCCATGCTGATGATGCTCATTAAAAAAGTAATGCGTGAATTAAATTTGTGACTGAACTCCTTGGGGGAGAATTGCATGTCTCCTGTTCTGTTTTACCCACATTCTGCCATATATTTCATGTTATAGCAGTCTTGTATGATGACCCAGCACATGTTCGTTTTAAAAACACTTTTACTGCAGAATTGACAAAACATAAAAGAAGGTACCAATGTGAGATTTCTAAAAATGCTACAGCAGTCGAACCAAGATTTAAGAATCTGAAGTGCCGTCCAAAATCTGAGAGGGACGGGGTGAGGAGCATGCTTTCAGAAGTCTTAAAAGAGCAATACTCAGATGTGGAAACTACAGAACTCAAACCACCAAAAAGAAAATCAACCTTCTGCTGGTGGCATCTGACTCGGATGATGAAAATGACCATGTGTCGGTCTGCTCTGCTTCAGATCGTTATCGAGCAGAACCCATCATCAGCATGGACATGTCCTCTGGAATGGTGGTTGAAGCATGAAGGGATATATGAATCTTTAGTGCATCTGGCATGTAAATACCTTGCGACGCTGGCTACAACAGTGTCATGTGAATACCTCTTCTCACTTTCAGGTGATATTGTAAACAAGAAGCGGGCAGCTTTATCTCCTGCAAATTTTAACCAAACTTGTTTGTCTGAGCGATTGAATGAAGTAGGAATGGGTGGACTTGTATGCTCTAAAGTTTTACATTGTTTTATTTTTTAATGCAGTTATTTTTTTTGTACATAATTCTACATTTGTAAGTTCAACTTTCATGATAACGAGATTGTACTACAGTACTTGTATTAGGTGAATTGAAAAATACTGTTTTTTTTTACAGTGCAAATATTTGTAATAAAAATAAATATAAAGTGAGCACTGTACACTTTGTATTCTGTGTTGTAATCGAAATCAATACATTTGAAAATGTAGAAAACATCCAAAAATATTTAAATAAATGGTATTCCATTATTGCTTAACAGTGCAATTAATCACATGATTAATTGGCATTTCTCACTCATGGCAGATCCAGCACTAGAATAGCACAGATGATGGTCAGGAGTGAAGAGCACTGGCAAAGGTGTATAATAGCTTGCACTGCAGCTTCCCACACTTGCCTAGCTGTATCATGCACTATCAGTCATTTTTGTGAGCATTAATATTAATCACATACATTTAAAAACACAGAGTTAAACAGATTGCATTTAAAGAGGTTGAAAACTACAAAAATGATCATCTGCTTGCCCTGCCTAAAAATAGATTTATGGTAGGAATACAAACCATATTGGGTTAATTTGGCAACTGCTGCTTTTAAGGGTGATTATAAAATAATGGTACCGTTCTACCTTCATTACTGCAGATTTATCACTGGGCTAACAGTTATCCTTTTATGTGACACTTGATTTGGTTTGCAGTAGCTGCTCTCCTCAGCTTGTCCCACGAGAAAACCTTCATTGCACAATACCCTTTAATGCAGGAGTAATCCTTATCAACACTCAACAATCTACAGTGTACATAACAACACTAAGGCTTTATATAGTGTATTATAGCCTTAAAAGCTCTGCACAGATATGAACTAATTCCTCATAATTCTTCTGTGAATAAGGTAAATAGCATTCAAAGTTACAGGTGGGGAAACTGAGGCACAGGAGTTAGCTGTATATTACCTATGGCAACAGTGGAGACAGTTGCAAAGCTGAGATAGAATTCAGGAGTTCTGGGCTCCCGATCCAGTGCTCTGACTGCTAGACCTCACTGACTGGTTTGTATCTTGTATGGTAAAACCATCATAATAAGCCTAATGAGAATGAAGGTACTGTCCCCTCTACTGTAGAATACACACCTGTAAATAGTGTAAATCTTAAAAAAATTGTTAATCAACACAAGACAGTGCAAAAAGCATAATTGATCGCAGGTGTTAAAATGTCCCAGTTCAACCAATACTTTTTTTGGGTTTATCCTGGAAGAAATCACACTCTTTTTCTTCCCTTTTTTAAATTCTGTGTCCAACTAACCTG